GATAAAAAAAAAATTTAATGGCTTTGAGGTTTACCTCTGTTAATAAAAGACAGAAGGAAGTCATTCATTGTTGAGGGGACCAGATGCCTTCACAACCTCATGATTGTGGATTTAGAAATTAGGATATACCCCACCCTGCTCCATGGTTTTAATTATATGCTAATTCTAAAGTTTTAATATTATTTTCCTATTATACAAATGAACATACGTGTTATATAAATATATCGGGATCAATTTAATCAAGAAATTAGCTTGGTGGTAACACTGTACTTTATGAAATGTACTATCACAGTATTTATATCTCTTAGATGTAGATGGTAAATAAAATCGGTTCGGTTCTTTGATCAACCCTGACATGGTTACCCTTTTCTATTCAGATGATTTACATCCTATAAAATCAACAGGTAAAATAAGCATCCTAATATTTTTACTCCTGAACATTTTCAACCAATAAACATAAAACAAACCCAATTACTGTTACCTAAATGAAAGTAATCTAATCTAGATATGGAAGATCAAGAAGAGTAATTCCAAACAGACTAGGTTTCTCACTCTATGAAATCGATATGTATTTTTTATGTTACATGTCAAAGCTTTCATCTCAAACATAGATACAAGAATTTGTATAAATGAAAAATAAAGACAAATCTGTTAAGGTTACAATGTGCAAACCCAAAATCTTTAGAGGGATCTTAATTGACAAGCTTTAAAAATCCATGCTTTAAATATTGGCTCTGAGGAACTCAAAACTTGCAGGTTGCTTGAGCTACATATCCCAAAAGGACTACATCTAAATTCACACGAGACAGAAGATAATTTGAGGAAGAATTTCATCTTGTATTATTTCTGTTTTCAAAAAATCACTATTAACTGCTCAAGATCCACAGTACAAGGAAATAAAGAATTGAGCTCTTATTTTTTCCTTTTATTTAGTGGCCTAACTAGACTATCAAGCACATTGATAGAATAAAATTGAAAAAAACAAACACACAAATATTGAGTCATCCCCTATCCTGCTTTACTGACAATAAGTGACACAAATCTGGCGAGAAATTTTAGGGCTCCATGTGGAAGGAATCCTGCAGTATAATTTGGAGAAAGAAACATTTTTGTAAGACCATCTGTATTCATCCATGTCATTGCGTAAAGATAGTTCAGTGAGTCAAGGGTAGAAAACTAAAGAGTTTTGTGAAGCAAACTAAGAATGGATGGTAATCCTAACAACTAGATACGGAATGACATTCTGCACATTTAATATATTCAGTTCAAGCATTTATAAAGAACTTTGCAACCAGAAAGTAGAAGCTTTTTTTACAGATTCAAAAAACTGGGTTCCCAATTCAGACTACCCTATGTGACTTTTGTCATTATCATCTTTTCTGATTCTTACAAAGTAAACCTAATTAAGAACCTCCCTCATTAGTCTTCCAGAAAAATTAGCACAGCTTATGCTAATTACTCCTGCAAAATTTAATAAACTCGTTGAAATGGGAATAGTCTAATGAGGTTTTATTTATTGAACTTAGATAACTCCAAGGAAAAAGGTTAGGACACAAGGATATCCAATGTGGTAATAAAACTACAATTTATTCAATTTCTAAACATGAATTTAATGCAAACCTTTTAAATTCAAATATGAGTTACTGTGTGAATATGTTAAGTCAATCTCCACTGTAATTCAATAACTGCAAATCATTGTTTTGCTTTTTACTTAACAATAATTACTATACATAGCCCTTTACCTCAACAATAATGAAATTTGCTATTATTAGTTCCTGGTCATCAGCTATTAAACCTAACACATTTGACTTTTCCCATGTCTACACAGCCCAAATATCTGGATCATTGGGCACAGCCTGGGTTTTATCACTCTTCATCCAGCCATTTGGTATCAGGCAGAAATATAAAATATAACCTGGCAGTCAACTGCAGATGCACACTTTCTACGTTTGCAGGAATTTTCCAACAAGCTTTTCGAAGTGACTCGACAAATTGTCACAATTGTAAAAGGAGTCATTTTCTACATCATAGTGTGCTACTGCTGATTTTGTTAATTCCACTTTTTGGATAGACTGTGCCAAGCTGATGTCCCCAAATCACTGGCAGCAAATAATATAGCCAAAATTCAACACAGAAATAGCTTACCCTGCACCATTGCCGTATGACCGGAGAGCCTCTTCTATCTCCCCTATAAATAGTTTTCCTGCATAACCACTGCTTAAAGTCTTTTTTTTCAGCAGTGTTCTTCCAAAATCCGAAGGACAAGCAAAGGGAGCTAAAAAGTATTGGTGCCCAAAAGGTAACTGTGGGTTAAAACTATGCTAAATCCTAACACAACGATTGCCTATACCCTCAGCTCTATAATTACATACTGTGTGCATCTTGTAAAAACAGTTACTACTGCTACTGAATACAGGCCCCATAACCTACTTTTCCTAAATATGCAGGGATTCACATCCATAAATCTGAAAACAAATCAAACCCTAAGCGTGTAACACAGATATTATGCAATCAGTAATATAGAATCAAATTGGAAACTATGAAATTCAAACACAGTTGTCTTCATTTTTTTTTCCTTTGCAATTGTATGGAATTGAAAAATCTTTTCTATTTTGCCCTTCCTTGTGTGAGTTCTTTTCTTACTGTTATTCTCTTCTCTCGTCGTTAAAAATGGAAGTTTCACATGTCAGCATAGACAAGACTGGAGCTTTAAAAGCCTTTGGCCAACTGAAGAGCAAATTCTGAAAACTCAGATGCAAATAAAGAATAGTTAAATGGGTTTTTGCATATCAGCTGGCATCACTGCTTAAAAAGAGTTCACAGGAGACAGTGGCAACAGCCAGCAAATAAACATATGCTGGACGTGTGCAGACGCACTGGGTTTCAGCTGTTTGTAAAATTCTCCTCTCTTAAGAGACCAACACTGGCTACACGCAGTTTTCTACTTTGTCAGACCAAAAAGGAAAAAAAAGGAAAAGGATAAATGTCATGAGTAATATCTCGAAAGCCACCAACAGTATAAAGTGCATACTTATTTTGCCTAAATTGTTTGAACTACCCCAGCCAAGAAAAGGTTTTAAGTACCCTACTGGGACAGATGCAAAGCGGCAACAATAGAAGCCACACTAATGCAATCCAGGTAACACAATCCTGTTTCAAAAACACGGGCCGGGCTAATTACAGCGCTGCTGAGTCAAGTTTCTTATGCCATCGCAACCCACAGGAACAGGTCAAAATCAAATGTTATTCAAACCACAGTCCTATCAACCTTCTATATCAGAGTCACGGCTTAAAACCAAACGAAGAACTTAAAAGCTTAACCCATTCACAAGCAAAAAAAGTGTTTTCATTGAGTGTAGCAAGGTAAGTTCTTGTCATCATCTAAACCAAAAGGAACTGGGTAGCAGAACAAAATGCGTAGAGTTTCAAATTTGGGGGGACGATCTGGGCTGGTCCTTTGATCAGAACACTTTCTTTTTAATGGATGAGTAAGAAAAACTTACTTAAAATAAGAAGTGGTATTTTGAAGAGGTGTATTTAAATGAAACAAACAGCACAAAGGTGATAATTATTGTTTTATATTATTTGAAGATTTATCTTCTGTTGCAGAAAAAAATATTATATCAATTGCAGGCCTGCGGTCTCAGATAAATATGCCATTCTAATTCTATAGACAGCACACTACCTCATGACACCGCAAACATTACCTGTGTTGCCTTTGAATCAAGTATATTCATACTTATTTATCGGGCAAAAGTGTATGTTGTTAGTGAACATTAGTGAGAAATATTTAAGTAAAATATCCGATTGAAATGTGAGCTTTAGGAAGCTACTGGGCAATCAAAATTGGGCTTAAAATATAAAATAAAATAAACAAAATTGGGCTTAAGCCTGAAGAACCACATACGTCAAAATCAACAACCAATTTTTTGTCATAAATTATGATGAAGCAAACACTTTCCAGCTCACTGAAAAATGATAAAGCAAGTCCCTAAACGGTAAAAAGAATTGTGAAGACAGATAAGTGGGGAGGAGGGGGGAGGGGAGCATTGTCAAAAAACAATATTATCAAACTCCAAAAGAGACTTTTGCTCAGCTGTAGGTTCCTTCAATGAGGGATCAGTCTTGCTTACAAGACTCTTTTCCTGCTAGTGGAGGGTGCTAGCTCTTTTCCTAGCTGACAACCGACAGCATCTATAAACCTTCCAGGCCATTTAACTCTCAATGAGTAGTGCTATGTAACAAATGGTTTATCATACATGTTTCCATACAATGAATTTCAATAATTAAAATGTAAAATGAATATTTGGAATGCGGCTTTGCATAATATGTGCACATACTGGCTTCAAATTGCACCGAACAACTAAAACAGATTTATCGTTCCACAGTGATTTACTCGGTCATGTCAGATTAGTAATATGGATCTGTTTAAAAACACGATAATTAAGACAAGCAGGATAAATTAATCAACTTACGATACAGTATGAGCTACAATCAAACCCAGGAAATAACAGTAGGAAAATCTTGGTTCGCAGATCTCTTTAAAACTGCTTTTATGCATAAATAAAACCTTAAAATGTAGATGGATTACATCCAACAGAACTACTGTAGCTAAAAGTGATAATGATTCAAACATTTTTCAAATAAAAGTTAAATATTTATAAGCACCCAACCACATTTCATAAATCACAAACTATTATTATTTTATTTCTGAAGCTTCCTGGCACAGCGTGAGGACTGAGCCACTGAAAGTCAGGAAAAAAAAATATTCCTTTAGGAGCATGAATCAGACAAAAACCGGAGCAATCCAAGAGAACAGGCCTCCAAAGAACATTCCATATGGCTTTCCCAGGAATCGCAATAGCTCGGCGCGGATTAAGTCACGACCAACAGGCAAATTTCGGCCACATGCATTCCTAACCCTCGCCCATGAGCGACACAAGGCAGGTGTTTCATTATAATGAGGAATAAGAATCCAGTGAAAGTAGAGTGGTCCCTACCTGTCAATTATCACTGGATCTGAGGGAGTCTCATTTCGGTTGCCACAGCTTTTCTTGTCACAACAGCGGCTATGGAGCAAAAGCGAAAGGATTTAGTACAACCATTACAATGTAAAATCATCATTTAGACAGACAGAAGGTTCAAATTGCTGGGTTGCAAATGCTAGAATTACCACAAAGCCATACCTGGCAATCAATGGATCCCTGGGACAGAAAATTCTATTTGGGTCACCTATGGGTTAATGGCCAGGCTTAACCTCTCCCTGCACAAAGGAGGAGAGAAAGGGACTGACTCTCTGGGAGCCAGGACCGACAGCCCTAAGATGGGGTCTCCCCATCACTGCCCGCAGTATTGGGAGGGTTCACTGTGAAATGCATTATTATTACATCTACCCAATGAGAATATTCAGGGTTGTGGGTGGCTCAAACGTTCTTCCCTCAAGATCACACTAATTGTGTGGAACGCGTCAATAATGAGGTATGAGTGATTTCTCCCCCTCCAGTCATTTTGTATTAAATGGATTCCTTTCCTCCTCCTTCCTCTTTTATGGGAGACATTTTCTTCAACCACATGCTTTCTAAAATCCTAAAGCTGCCAGTGCTTGCTTTTGAACCATCTTCATGAGAATAAAAGTATGACACAATAATTAAGACAAACCAAGAAACGGGATAAAAGAAAGTGGAGACAAGCATGCCCTCTTGTGCTTTTGTGTCCTGCACTGGTCACCACTTAAGTTTTCTGGAAGCACTAGGGACAGTTGATCTAAAGGCTAGCACAGCCCAGACAGTGGGCGCTCTTTATTAGATCAGAAAAAGCAGCCATGGGCAAAAAACGCACCCATACCCAAGTCCCACCCCAGCTGTGACCTTAAGATGCTTCTAAAGGGTAAAAAATTATGGTTTTTGAAAATTACCCATGATCAATGGAAACCTATGCACCTGAGACTTGTTTGCAAATAAAACATTGTCTGTCCACAAGGGCACACTATAAAAGCAAATATTTGATCAGTCAAAGAGGTGAAGAAGTTAACCAAGGGTTATACATTACCATGCACAAATAATATGCACTTTGCTCCCACTTTCTTACACAGGCACACATGCATGATATCTCTCTCTCTCTCTCTCTCTCTCTCTCTCTCTCACACACACACACACACACACACACACACACACACACACACACTCGACTTAGTGAATCACACAGCCTAAATTTAGAGCTGCCAGAGAGAATCAAACATTGAACTTCACTTTCAGAACCAAGAGATATACTTTTGCATAGGGAGTCTTTCACCAAAGTTGGGACGTCTCTTTCCTTGCTGTAACTATATCCCCGAGAAGAGAGTCAGCTTCCAAATTTGGTGCTAATTCTGTGTCTCCCATATGTTCGGAAAGCAATACTAAGAATTGTATTTCCTTTGTCAAAGCCCCAGCTAAAAACCGCTCCACCCCCTATAGTTTTTGCCTGTCTGATTCTGAGGGAACTATTCCCTCCAGGCCATGAGCTCTGCAGTACTAGTGCTCCGGGGATAGAAGGCCCAAAGTGTCCCAATGTATAAGACACATGAGGAACAGGAATGAGAAGTATAGTCGTTGGGATGAATGCAAAAAAAAATAAGTTAAAAACTCAACTCCATCCTCCCTAAACTCTGATCCTCTATGCCAGCGGTTCTCAACCTGTGGGTCGTGACCCCTTTGGCGGTCGAATGACCCTTTCACAGGGGTCTCCTAAGACCATCCTGCATATCAGATATTTATATTACGATTCATAACAGTAGCAACATTACAGTTATGAAGCAGCAATGAAAATAATTTTATGGTTGGGTTACAACATGAGGAACTGTATTTAAAGGGCCAGAAGGTTGAGAACCACTACTCTATGCCTACATTTCAAGGGCAGAAGAGCAACAGTGGTTAAAAACACTGGCTCTGGAATCAGACAGAACTACATGTGTCGCCTTGAGCAAGGTACTACCCCTCATAGCTCATAGTTCCCTCATTTGTAAAACGGAACAATGGTTGTACCCACCCCTAAGTGAGGAGGCGCAGATTTAATGCAGTAAGGGTGTAAAGCCAGGCTCTGTGACTGGACATAGTAAGCGCTCAGCATCATTGTCACTCCCAGCTCCTGCCTCCTCCTCAGAGGCAGCAACTCTCCAAAAGCAGCCCATCTACAGAGCCCCACAGCCCCCTTTATCCATGGAGAAAACCAATGAATGAGATGGTCTATTTCTCCTTTTTTTTTCTTTGTTTTTCAAAACAGTGAGTGGGCAATCCAAGTCCCCAATGGCCACGCCCTCACCAAGACTAAATGTCCTCTTCCTCCCCCCTGCCCCCCAGACTCCTCCAACTTGCATGATGATAATTGTGGAGTAGAATCTACATCTCAAGCTTACCTGATTCTCTCCCTCCCCGCTGCCACCACCCTGGCCCAATCACTTTCATTTGTCCTTGGATTCCTCCAGTGGCCTACTCTTGCTGCCTACTCTTCACTCCCTGCAACAGCCTGAGTGATCTTTTCAAAATGTCAATGGGACTGTGTCACTTCACTGCCCAGGACCTTTTCATGCCTTCCCACAACACTTAGAATATATCTATGGCATGACAGGATGCCAGACCACCTCCCAATCTCCTGTCACTCTTCTCCAACTTGCCAAGCTGCAGTCTCACTGGCCAATTTCAATCTCTCTGATAGGCACACTCAGTCTGATCCCAGGCCCAGGCCAGGCCTCCCACCTGTTCTGCTCCTCCTTCTACCCCTCCCTAGTTAGGCAGCCCCTCGTCCCCCTTCAGACTTCAGCCTCTAGGCTCTTTCCTCTGAGAGGTTGGCCCTGACATCTGCCCTTAATCAAAGTTAGGTTTGTCCTGTTTTTCCTTTCAGGGCACTTAACACAATGAAAACTTGCATATATATATATTTGTGTGTGTGTTTTTTGTTGCTATCTTTCTCCTTCCACACCCCTCCCTCATTAACCCATATTCTTCATAAAGGAAAAAACTGTCAATTTTAGTTACCTAAGGAGCAGCATGAAACCTAGAATAGAACAGAGAAGCTCAAATATTGGATTGATTGATTAACTTCATGAATGAGTATAATGTATTGGGGTGAGGGAATATAATCCACGAAAGCAGAAAGGTGACAGATAAAGAGAGCCAAGCTGACCCTCTGGGCAGGCACTCCGGATGGAAGGAGGGGTCACTATCACTGCACCCCATACACCAAAACCACCTCCCCCAAGCAAGGGCCACACTAGGCCAGAGATATGTCCTTTGACTTAATCTGTCCCAAATAAAAATGACTTAGAGAGAAGCCAGAGGAATTGAAGAATAGCATAAATAAGAACCATCCCCTCTATGCTGTGCCCCAAGGGACCCAGAGTAGCAGGCAGATTCGAAGAACAGGAATGCAGAAGGAGGGACAGAATAAGACTAAAATGGGGGAATGAAAGAAGAGAAAACAGAATCAAGGGGCTGCTGGAAGTCACTTATCACTTATAAAAAACTTTAGGCAAAGGATGAAAAATATTCCAACAGGTTCCTGTCTCCCAGGCCATGTCACTGCATCATATAATTTTCCCAAAATGAGACACTTGGGCTCTACTCTGCACCTGGAGGGATGACAAAATAATGTCTATGGTATGAGCCCCCTTTAAATATAAATATATATATATGGTGTACATATATAGTATATATATGTACATGTATATATGGAGTTCTGTGCAGCATTAAAAATGAATGAAGGTGGGTTTTATGAATTATCATGAAAAGAAGTCAACATTATATTGTGAACTGAGAAAAACAAGTTGCAAAATAGTATGTATGGTATGGTCCAATTTCTGAGAGAAAAATGTGAGGGGGTGGGAGGGGGGGGGAATGTCACAAGCATGCTCCACACCCTCATGTGACTCAAATCTCTGCACAAAGTCACTGCCTTAGAAAGGCTTCCCTGACCACCCAGAGCTCTCTAGTCCCTTATTTTGCACTTTTCTTCCTAGCACTCCCCACATTATATTTTATATTGATTTATCTCCTTCATTATTGTCTGACACTCACCCTTGAATATAAACCCCATGAGGACAGGACCTTAGATTTTTTATTCACCTTTATATCCCCAGCAACCAGAACAGAGCCTAGTACACTCTGGCCCTCAGAAAATATTTAATAAATGAATAGATACCTCAAAGCTGTAACCTATAACAAGGGAAATAGGAATGGGGAATAATGGAGGGCGTATATTTTATTTAAATACATTTTCAGTCTTCTGCTTTGTATTGCATTATTACTTTCCCACTGAAAAATGAAAAATCAACTGTCAGTGGGAGAAGGAAGGTCTTCCCTTAGACTGAGCTGACATCGACCCCCTGTAGCTCCCTAATTCTAACCGGAGCACCAAGCAAAGACCTGTCCTTCTTCCCATGACTGTTCTCTGCCCTCAAGAGTCCTCTGTGCTCTGAGCTGAACCTCCCCTAGTTTCTTCCATGGAACTCAGAAGAACCCAGAAAGGTGGGCACCAGCCTCCACCATACACAAGACAGGCATCAACCAAGGGCGGCTGAAAAGAGCACAGATTCCCTTATGTGTAAGGCAGAAGAGGACTCAGAATGAAACAATATAGTACGTTGGGGCAACAAACTCAAAAGCATTTCAAAGGAAAAGTTACCGTGGTAGTGAAAGAACTCACAGTAATAATTATACCCTCATTACTGTGTGATGGATGGGTCTTCATCTAGTCAAAAAGGTGTTTCTCCAGCTCCTACTTGTGTGGCAGGCACTGTGCCAGACTCAGACCTGGTATTGGCTCCCTAACGCAGACATCTATCGTGTGGGAGGGCTTGGAGTTGCCTAATTTGTTTTGTCACAGGGCAGGACTCCCACTATTTCACATCCCTTCTCAACCTGCGACACAACTGGCAGGAGAGCAATGTGGCCTGTCACAGGAGTGGGTACCCGGCACCTGATGCCATAAGTACACTGTGGGCTCAAAACAGCAGCCCTTTCCCCAGCAGGCTCGTGCATCTCCTGGACAATTCTGCACACCCAGGGAAGGCAAACTTATGAGTCTCTTCCATAGC